CCCCCCCCCCCCCCCCCCGCCCCCACCACCAAGGACCACCACCACCACCGCCTTTCGACTTACCGCGACTGTTCTGGTGCCACTGACAGCCGGACACATTAAAACACAAAAAAATGACACCGATGACGGCGGATGTGGAGAGAGCGGAGAGAGAGGTAATGAGATACGCAACAGAGGGAATCCACTACTACAACGACGAGGAGCTGGATTTGTTACGGCAAAGAACGTCGGCGTACTTTGACACGAGGGTTGACGTTCAACAGTCAGTGGCGGCAAACGGAGACAGGTCAACGAGAGCACAGCAGTTGCTGTTGCGCTTATCTCAAAATGCCGACGTGCATGACGACCACATCATGATGGAGTGCTCTGCGAACACTCTTCACGTAGTTGTGGACTGGATGTGCAACGACCAAGACATCGACATGACGAAAAGAGAGCGAGGAGGTTCGTACGACACAGCGGCGTTCAAGAAATTTGTGAGATCCCAGGCGAGGGAAAATGAAATGTTGAAGACAGGGGTTAGTGAAGAATTGAAGCCGAACGGAGATATTGGCGCTGAACAGGATGAACGAGGAGGCACAAAGAGATCATGTCGACTACCATGAACTGGCGACAATGGTGGTGGACGGTGTCGAGTATGTGCTACTTGACCAGATTGTGGACTTCATGAAGAGTGGAGGCAAGGACAAGAACCTCATTCACGAGGCATTCCATGAGGTGACGGAGGACGCAATAGCAGCAGCGGAGGTTGTCGATGTCGAGTGCGTAAAGGATCGCACACTCGACCTTGTATCGGGAGATCTTGTGCCCCGAGGGAACATATTCGAGGCTGTAGAGGAGCTCACCGCAGCATTGACGGACGTGGACAGGAGGAGGAAGAGAAAGCAAGGATGGGAAATCGTTGTCCGAGAACACAATAGCGCAAGGACACACACAAGAGACATAACAGTGCAGGACGTAGGTGGCGCAGTATCTCTCCCGGATGTGACGACCGTGTTGAAGAATCCTGTTGCGGATGCCCGGACTGTCCATGGCGGATTCAGAGAGTGGAGATTGGCATCCATACGTCCCTCAGGTGACTTCAACGAAGGGGGTGAACAACCGTCTTGGCAGGGAGATTATGCGGTGGTTCGTTCTGATGACAAGGGTGATGCGCAGATACGACTGCAGCAAGAGAACCCGACTTTACGGGACTTGGAAGTGAGTGGCAGTGATATCAGCAGCGACGAGGAGGGCGAGGAATAGGACCCTTACTGGGACGTAAAGCGAGGTGGTGGTCAAGCCATGAAAGGTTGGTGTCATGCGATTTTGAGGCTGACGCGTTATTTCTCGAAACCGCACCCATTGATACGTGTTGTGGACAAGGTGGCAACAACGGACGGGTTTCTACACTTCGCAGCTATCATGACGATTATGTCGTGCGTCAAAACCGGCAAACGTTGGACTCGCACTGGAAAATCATGGTTTGTTCTCATACAGAAGGAGACCATTCTGACGACATCGATGTCATGGGGTGTGAACCTGAGTTGCGTCATACACGGAGCAGCTGCCACTGCATGCGGTGCCACCGTGCACCCCACAATGTCAACAGCGACTGCAATTATACATGCACAACCAACACTCCTTCTGTGTGCCACGAAAGACGACAATATCGATGCTGCTATGGACATGGGCCGAACATCAGAGGAA